TTGTTTTATTAAGGAATTGCAGGATGTTGTCCATATTTGGTCTGAAGCATGCTTGGGTGAAGTCTAACCCCCAAGTGGATTTACTTCATTTTTATATCATTGCTTTGGATCATCAACAATTCATTTAGATCTTTGGTTATTTGAAACACTGGTGATCCCCACTAAATAACTACAGCATTGCTGATCATCAGCAGATAATTACAATAATAACTGATAATTTGAACAGGGGTCTGGTCCATTGGAGGATAGATTATGTCTTTGACATTTGCCATTGAGATTATATTCCCATAATTTCATAGCATTGCTGGATATCAAATGATTAACAACTGATCACTGTCCCCAACACTAGGGAATTTGAAGCTGTTTCTGTGAGGTGAAGCTCATTAGGGGAAATGTTTTCCTTCTAATGAAATGTAAAGTTTTGCATTATTGACTTAAATATCCATGCAAGCGATACAGGCCCTCTGGGTCTCTTAGTTTTGTTTGTGAGACATTCAGTGTTTACTTTTAAAGGGCATTTTCAAAAATAAGAAAAAATTCTGAAAAAGTAGCTCAGTGTTAATGACATGATAAGCTCTGTATTTTCTATGTCCAGTTCTCCCTCTCAGTACCTCTGACTACAACTGGCTCTTGTTAGCTGTCCAGTGTATTCTGGAATGTTTCTCGGCATGGTGTACAGGTATGTGGTACTAATTGTCCAATTGTTCCTAATAGATGGGCAATGAAACCAATGTAGAGGTATGAAATGTTGGTACCTAGGTAATGTGTTAAATTGGGCCAAGGTCACATGTACATTCATGCATACATACATATTTTGTATTTGGTAATTTATCCTCACTTGAAAGTCAAATAAGTTACATAGACGAAGAATATAATAACCATAATTAATAGGTAAAAAGCCCATGTCATCAATAAGATTTGTACAATCTGCAACAGTTGTCCTGTAATAAGCCCACCCCTGAATTTGAACCAGAAGCATATGTCTCCTGGGCTTATCATGGGAAAACCATGACTTGTGCAGTATTCAACTGTAAATAACCCCTTACCAAGATAAAATGAAATCGTGGAGAGACAGACTATACTGCCAACCCTAATACTTTGTGATCTGTATTGAAACTAGCACTGAAGAAAAATGATTATATTGGCTCTATTACCTCTGATGTGTCCTTGATTAACTTAACCTGCCTGTTTTACCACTGGGGGTCACTTGTTACTTGTTGGTAAATTAGACATCTTTTGAATTCAGATCTCTAGATGCCTTCGAAAATTTTGTCATTTTTCAATCCAATTTGTTAGCTATCTATTGCAAACAAACCCCAGTGAATGCAACCTGTTACCCAAGGAAGAGTGAAACAAATATCTTGTATAGCTGATATAGTGGTGCTAAATATTCGACATGACATAGCCAGCTCGCTGAAAGTAGGCTGTGACATTTACTACTGTTGTATATATATAACATGTGCACATCCAGATGGTTTGGTTTATAATAGGGGATATAGGAAAGCCTCACACTGACAGCAGGTTGGTACTGTACTATGATTATCAATTTTATCTTGAAGTATATATATTTGTACATGATTTTGATAGCTATATATGATAGCTGTGTTTGATAGATATACCTTAAAACATTCTTTATTACCTATAATGTTTGCAAGACAATGCAAGTCAGCAAAATATTTTTTGTCCTTCATCATATATTTATCTTTTATGAAACAGATTTTCATTTTAGTGTTTTCATTGGGATGGCAGATCACCATTAAAATGAAATCAAGGTTTGGATAGCATAAATTTTTACATAATACCATACATACTGGTACCGAATCCTTCTTGGCTAATCACTCATAATGTATATAGATACATGGTTTTCCCCACCATATTGTTATGGTGAGAAGCCGCAGTATTATGCACAATGAGTCAGACAGTAACAGATCTCGGAATTCAGACGTCCATATGTTTTAAAAAATACAAGAAACATCATACGATTATGTGAAATTTTAAGTTTAGCAATGTAGAATATCTAATTAATTTCATCCACATATGATGTCAGTCTAAATAAGATGTGGACAAGTACAATTTTTTGTCAGATTGGATACTTACTTTTGATAAATTTCTTCTCTATAACTAATCCAGTTATGATTTGTTTTACTGATAGTAGCTTTCTTGCAATTTCACCTATCTAAATATTAGATACTATATTGTATTTCATTAATGTATATAAACCATTTCACTGTTTCGTCATACTTGAGTGGTAATAGAATCATTGATTGATCCAGCATCACTGAAATTAAGTGGCAAATATTCTATCATTACCATTGGGTAAAATAAGGAAATATGAAGGTATGATATGCTGATTTTGATATTCACAGTATTGTGCCACTAAATTGATATTACATTGATCAGTTGCAAGGGACCTTTTAACTGAATATAAACAATAAATGGTTTCAATACTTTAGTTTTCCATGTTGCTCACTTTAAATGTATATGTTTTAGAAATAAAAATGGGCGGGGTTTTTAACAGCTATATCAGTCTCTATACATGGTTGTGATATTCATAAACATACTGGGTTTGTTATAATCTCAGACTCATTGTCGAAGTATGGATGTTACCTTATTACCAGGCATTAATTGAAAGATAATTGATATTTCTTTTGAAACTTTAATAGTGTTAGATGGGCTATATACTAGATAGATATGGTAGAATTCATGATATGTGTCATATGTATATGTATGTGTGCTCCTGATAGTTTTCTATGTTATACAGAGTAAGTGCTTTCACTCAAACCTGAGATACAATTTTAGAGTATATAACAATCCAGTGTTACGTTTTGTCTCTCTGAGTCAGTAACAAGAAGTCTGGTTCACTGCTGACATATGTTAAAATCTGTCAGTGATTATAAAGCTGTCACCAGCGACTCCTTGTAATTTTTTTTCTACAGTTGTCAATATTTGTGTCACCATGAATCTTAGGACTGACAATCCAAGATCCTTAATACCAATGGATGGCCATGATCATTTATCATAGGCTCAAGTATTGTAAAACATGTTTAATTTTTTTTAAAAGGTATATATAAGCCACTTCTGCCAATATCAGGATATATCATTCATCATTGGTGATATTTTTTCTGATTTATTACCAAGTTATTCAGAAAACAGTACATTACACTTGTGTATATGGTAAACTAATTGAATTTTGATAAAATCGAACATTTATAACTTAATGTTTGTTGATCAACCATCCTGTAGCTATAAATATATGTGTGTATGTATGGTTTTGGTTCAGAAGAATTGTACAAGAGTCCCAGTTTTATAGGTTTATGTATAAGTGAAAGTTAAATCAAGGTTCTTTTAACCACAAGGTCAAAACATTTTACGTCTCTATGTTCTGTTGTTACAATAGCACATGTTAAATGTGCTGTAATACAGAAAACTAGGACATTGGTATATTCACAGTAGTAGACATGATATGTGATGTTTATATGTGGGGGACATGATATGTGATGTTTATATGTGGGGTCATGATATGTGATGTTTATATGTGGGAGACATGATATGTGATGTTTATATGTGGGAGACATGATATGTGATGTTTATATGTGGGAGACATGATATGTGATGTTTATATGTGGGAGACATGATATGTGATGTTTATATGTTGGGGACATGATATGTGATGTTTATATGTGGGAGACATGATATGTGATGTTTATATGTGGGGGACATGATATGTGATGTTTATATGTGGGAGACATGATATGTGATGTTTATATGTGGGAGACATGATATGTGATGTTTGTATGTGGGAGACATGATATGTGATGTTTATATGTGGGAGACATGATATGTGATGTTTATATGTGGGAGAAATGATATGTGATGTTTATATGTGGGGGACATAATATGTGATGTTTATATCTGAGGAACATGATATGTGATGTTTATATGTGGGGGACATGATATGTGATGTTTATATGTGGGGAACATGATATGTGATGTTTATATGTGGGGGACATGATATGTGATGTTTATATGTGGGAGACATGATATGTGATGTTTATATGTTGGGGGACATGATATGTGATGTTTATATGTGGGGAACATGATATGTGATGTTTATATGTGGGGGACATGATATGTGATGTTTATATGTGGGGGACATGATATGTGATGTTTATATGTGGGAGACATGATATGTGATGTTTATATGTGGGAGACATGATATGTGATGTTTATATGTGGGAGACATGATATGTGATGTTTATATGTGGGGAACATGATATGTGATGTTTATATGTGGGAGACATGATATGTGATGTTTATATGTGGGAGACATGATATGTGATGTTTATATGTGGGAGACATGATATGTGATGTTTATATGTGGGGGACGTGATATGTGATGTTTTTATGTGGGGGACATGATATGTGATGTTTATATGCGGGGGACGTGATATGTGATGTTTATATGTGGGGAACATGATATGTGATGTTTATATGTGGGAGACATGATATGTGATGTTTATATGTGGGGGACATGATATGTGATGTTTATATGTGGGAGACATGATATGTGATGTTTATATGTACAGACCTTGAACATGACACTTTGCTCTATTGGAATGCGTGTGGTAGGCCTTCTGCATATTGTTCATCAAAGTATTCGCAAGTAACTACAGAAACCCCCTAATAAGGGTCTTAATCTGAAAAACAGGTGCTTGCAACTTTAATTTATTTTCTTGGGTTATATATAGAGCAATATAATGGGGTAGTATAATCAATAAATCTGTCAAACATACTCAGTCTGATCACCTCAAAATGACCCCGGCTCACACTGCACAGGAGGAGAATTACTGATAAACACAGCAACCACATGAAGTTAGCAAGTGTACTATATACAATTAGAAAATGTATTCAATGTTTGGAAATATTTACTACTATTAGGTTGTAACACTACTAAAATCCACATTTAATCTTTCTTTTCCCTTCAGGTTGGAAAGGTACAACTCATAGGAGAGTTTGGGGCCAAGGTCAAACCAGCAGAGGGCATCAAGGCCACCATCACAGGATAGGGTCAGACAGGGGATGCTTTGATCAGCGTTGCTAGTCCTATTCACCAACCTTTGATGGACCGTCACCTGTTGAACTCTTTTCATATACATTTCAGTCAATTCTAAATTAAATGCCACACACCCATTTGTACTGGGTTTTTAATGTGTAATATGAGAATGTAAAGTTTTAATTTTCTTTTTACATTTGACATAATATGCTGTGAGAGTGGATTTCTGAAGGAAATTATAAAAGTTAATTATGTTTTTTTTGTCAAACCGTAAATTGATATTAGGACATTTCATACATGAATGAGAAATAATCTGGACTCCTCACACATACTGAACATTTGTTAATGTGTGTGACGTCCATCATAGTGGATCTATTACCATACCTGAGAAACACTGATACAGTCTGAGGTTTAGCTTTTATTGAGGGACTGGGTTTACTGAATAAAAAGACATCATGATGAATCCAAGATATTCCAGGAAGAGGAAGCACAATGATCTGTGTGGCCAAAATTTCCTCAAATTTGTCATCTATATGTTTACCTTTCTTTTTCTAGTAAGTATTCTTTTATCATGGTTATGGTGCTAGATTTTATCATTAAGTCAACACTGTCAGATTTTGTGCTTAGAAATGTCATTATTCTCTTTGGTAGAGAACATAAAAGTAACCTTTTATCTTCCCTACCCTTTGAAACATTTAATCTTTTTATTAGCTCTGCTACCTATAGATACTTTGGTGCTTTTGATAATTCCTTTGCAATCACAACATATTTGCCTTATAGTGGTGAGTGAAATGTCAGAAGATATAGATTCTGTCCTTAAATCGAGTCTATGAAATTAGTGTCATACTTTCCTTTGTCACCATCTGGCATTAAATTTACTGACAGTAAAGACTTGTCAGCTGTGTTGAAATGTCATTAACTATCAAATCAGAAAGAAAATTGATGTCATGTTCTGGATATTTCTCTAATATTTAAAAAAAAAAATTATATTTACTATAAAAAAAATATATATTTACTATAAGCTATTTCTGGTAATATCTATGATATAAAGATATTTCTGGTAATATCTATGTTATAAAACTATCTGGTAATATGATATAAAGCTATTTCTGGTAATATCTATGATATAAAGATACTATTTCTGGTAATATAAAACTATGATATATAAAGCTATTTCTGGTAATATCTATGATATAAAGCTATTTCTGGTAGTATCTATGATATAAAGCTATTTTTGGTAGTATCTATGATATAAAGCTATTTCTGGTAGATATAAAGCTATTTCTGGTAATATCTATGATATAAATCTATTTCTGGTAATATCTATGATATAAAACTATTTCTGGTAGTATCTATGATATAAATCTATTTCTGGTAGTTATAGCTATTGTGCTTCAACCATCATTGTCCATCGTGAATAAACTTTTGACATTTTAACATTCTTCTCAAGTTTCACTGGTGAGATAGAGCTTAAACTTGAAGTGATCCTGAGATGGTCCTGATCAAGTGATGTTATTTTTTGGGTTTGTCTGAAATCCAAGATGGTCGCCATCTTGAAAAATATATTTTAAACTTCTTCTGCAGTTTCACTGGTGTTATTGAGCTAAAAGTTGGTGGGAATGTTAAGGAAGGTAGCCAAGAATGTTTTGGTTTTTTTTTCAACCTTGTCAAAACTTTGATAAGGCAGTCAGGAAGGCCATTATGTTACATGATTGTGCAATCATGGTTTTCCTGTGCAACACCTATTTTAAACTTCTTCTCAAGTTTTACCAGTTAGATTTATCTTTAACTTAGAAAATAACCCTTCTCTCTGTTGAAAGTTTGTAGTAAGATGACCATTAAGACCTGTGGGCCTCTTTTTCATTTCATACTCTTCTTTTTGCTAAGTGAATTATTTTTGCATTGAAAGATTTTGGTTCCTTTAAATATTGAAATTGTAAAAAAAATGAAAATTGAAATTTATTAGATTTTAATCACTTCCCTCAAAATGTGACCTTTGTACTTCAGCTCTCAGGAGTGGCATTCTTATCTACCGGTCTGTACATAAAGCTGGAAAAGTTCACCTACATTAATTTGCTGGGCAGTAATACATTTCCCATAGCAACCTACCTCCTCATAGCTACTGGAGCTTTCATCCTATTGTCTGGAATTGTAGGATGCACAGGAGCTTGTATTGATAACAGATGTTGTCTTGTCATGGTGGGTATAATTACTCTATTTAGATAAAATAAAACCTGTCTGACAGAAATAATGACGAAAGGAGTCTGGTTTGAACTTGAAAAATTTTGATGCATTGTATAATATAATGACATGACCGACCTGTAATTGTTATCTATAACATCACACTGCCTACTATAGAAAGATAAATGGCAATTACATTACATTATGTATGTATGTCAACATTTCAAAAGGATGTGTGGATTTCATTATGAAGTGAAAAACATACTACTGGTATACAGCTGGTTAATTTTACAATTTTCACAAATCAAAATTTTTGAGATTTTTAGATAATAGAGTATATCCTTTTAGATATATCAAATATTTCAACAGCTGCATAATATGAAACTGATATCCCGTAAGTGTACCTGTGTTTTATGATATTAATCGTATGTGTTCTGTGCTATACACTACAAGTATGCATCATGTTATTCTATTCTTGATAATGACTGTTGTCACAGATTTAGGGCTGGCTAGTAAGTTATTGAGATCAGCTGAAAACTGCAATATGTGCGGTTATAAGCTCATTTTTATGTGTTGCAGTAGAATCACTTACAAAAGCATTGTCATGTACAAAAGTCCTGTAATATAATTACTGCAATGATGTATATCATGATGTTGAAATAAACATGAGGCGAACACTGATACCGACAATGGTGGAATATTTCATTAGGCTGGTTTCTCTCGGTTTATGAAGGAGGTGGCCTGATACAAGCTTTAGTTCAAAACTTTCTCAAAATTGTTTCTTCACTTGTAACTCTGACATAATCTATATTACAACTCCAACACGATCTATGTTACAACTCCAACACGATCTATGTTACAACTCGGACACAATCTATGTTACAACTCTGACACGATCTATGTTACAACTCGGACACGATCTATGTTACAAACACGATCTATGTTACAACGATCTATGTTACAACTCTGACATGATCTATGTTACAACTCTGACATAATCTATGTTACAACTCTGACATGATCTATGTTACAACTCTGACATAATCTATGTTACAACTCTGACATAATCTATGTTACAACTCTGACACGATTTATGTTACAGTACGCTGTGTTCCTACTTTTTATATTCCTGATTGAAGCTATCTCGGGAGTGTTGGCCTACATGTACGATGGAACGGTGAGCTAACCATTCAAGAAAAATTCTGTAACTAAAGAATTACTCAACAGCTGATAAAAATCTCATTTTTGTAATAGACACTTAATAAGGATAATAATATATTGATGCTTAAGATTGTGTAAGGAAAGTGTAAACCCCCTAAATCTTGAAGTAACCATACTGTAAAGAAAAGAGAAGATTTTAAAAAATAAATAATAGCATTTGTACTTTGATATATAAATATACCTTAAAACAAGTGTGATTTGATATATAAATATACCTTAAAACAAGTGTGATTTGATATATAAATATACCTTAAAACAAGTGTGATTTGATATATAAATATACCTTAAAACAAGTGTGATTTGATATATAAATATACCTTAAAACAAGTGTGACAAAAAAATTCAATTTACTTTTTTATTTTATACAAATTTTATAATTCTATGTAATTTTTTATGTGAAGATTCGAGAAGAACTGACCAGAAGCCTCAACAAAAGTATGATGGAAAAGTACAACTTTGATCCAGTTTTCACCAAATTGGTGGACGACATGCAGATTGAGGTAAAATTGATAAAATGTGTGGAAATGTGTGTTACATCCCATGTAATCTGTCTTAATGATAAAATGTGTGGAAATGTCAACATCCCATGTAATCTGTCTTAATGATAAAATGTGTGGAAATGTCCACATCCCATGTAATCTGTTTTAATGATAAAATGTGTGGAAATGTGTGTTACATCCCATGTAATCTGTCTTAATGATAAAATGTGTGGAAATGTCAACATCCCATGTAATCTGTCTTAATGATAAAATGTGTGGAAATGTCAACATCCCATGTAATCTGTCTTAATGATAAAATGTGTGGAAATGTCAATATCCCATGTAATCTGTCTTAATGATAAAATGTGTGGAAATGTCAACATCCCATGTAATCTGTCTTAATGATAAAATGTGTGGAAATGTCAACATCCCATGTAATCTGTCTTAATGATAAAATGTGTGGAAATGTCAACATCCCATGTAATCTGTCTTAATGATAAAATGTGTGGAAATGTCAACATCCCTTGTAATCTGTCTTAATGATAAAATGTGTGGAAATGTCAACATCCCATGTAATCTGTCTTAATGATAAAATGTGTGGAAATGTCAACATCCCATGTAATCTGTCTTAATGATAAAATGTGTGGAAATGTCAACATCCCATGTAATCTGTCTTAATGATAAAATGTGTGGAAATGTCAACATCCCATGTAATCTGTCTTAATGATAAAATGTGTGGAAATGTCAACATCCCATGTAATCTGTCTTAATGATAAAATGTGTGGAAATGTCAACATCCCATGTAATCTGTCTTAATGATAAAATGTGTGGAAATGTCAACATCCCATGTAATCTGTCTTAATGATAAAATGTGTGGAAATGTCAACATCCCATGTAATCTGTCTTAATGATAAAATGTGTGGAAATGTCAACATCCCATGTAATCTGTCTTAATGATAAACAGAATGAGACCCTGTATTCTTCTCTATAGGATAAATATGTTTGTGTACACAGAAAGACCTCCTTTACTTCCCTATAGGATAAATATGTTTGTGTACACAGAAAGACCTCCTTTACTTCCCTATAGGATAAATATGTTTGTGTACACAGAAAGACCTCCTTTACTTCCCTATAGGATAAATATGTTTGTGTACACAGAAAGACCTCCTTTACTTCCCTATAGGATAAATATGTTTGTGTACACAGAAAGACCTCCTTTACTTCCCTATAGGATAAATATGTTTGTGTACACAGAAAGACCTCCTTTACTTCCCTATAGGATAAATATGTTTGTGTACACAGAAAGACCTCCTTTACTTCCCTATAGGATAAATATGTTTGTGTACACAGAAAGACCTCCTTTACTTCCCTATAGGATAAATATGTTTGTGTACACAGAAAGACCTCCTTTACTTCCCTATAGGATAAATATGTTTGTGTACACAGAAAGACCTCCTTTACTTCCCTATAGGATAAATATGTTTGTGTACACAGAAAGACCTCCTTTACTTCCCTATAGGATAAATATGTTTGTGTACACAGAAAGACCTCCTTTACTTCCCTATAGGATAAATATGTTTGTGTACACAGAAAGACCTCCTTTACTTCCCTATAGGATAAATATGTTTGTGTACACAGAAAGACCTCCTTTACTTCCCTATAGGATAAATATGTTTGTGTACACAGAAAGACCTCCTTTACTTCCCTATAGGATAAATATGTTTGTGTACACAGAAAGACCTCCTTTACTTCCCTATAGGATAAATATGTTTGTGTACACAGAAAGACCTCCTTTACTTCCCTATAGGATAAATATGTTTGTGTACACAGAAAGACCTCCTTTACTTCCCTATAGGATAAATATGTTTGTGTACACAGAAAGACCTCCTTTACTTCCCTATAGGATAAATATGTTTGTGTACACAGAAAGACCTCCTTTACTTCCCTATAGGATAAATATGTTTGTGTACACAGAAAGACCTCCTTTACTTCCCTATAGGATAAATATGTTTGTGTACACAGAAAGACCTCCTTTACTTCCCTATAGGATAAATATGTTTGTGTACACAGAAAGACCTCCTTTACTTCCCTATAGGATAAATATGTTTGTGTACACAGAATGAGACCCTGTATTCTTCTCTATAGTATAAATATGTTTGTGTACACAGAAAGACCTCCTTTACTTCCCTATAGGATAAATATGTTTGTGTACACAGAAAGACCTCCTTTACTTCCCTATAGGATAAATATGTTTGTGTACACAGAAAGACCTCCTTTACTTCCCTATAGGATAAATATGTTTGTGTACACAGAATGAGACCCTGTATTCTTCCCTATAGTATAAATATGTTTGTGTACACAGAAAGACTTCCATCATGTATGTTAAAAGCTGACACTATGTTCAGAGAGTTACTAAACATAACCAATTTTCTCAGTTACAAACCATGATCAGATTATAATGAAATATACCAAACATACCTTGAATCAGTGAAATAAAAAATTTTGGTGATCCCGTATTGACAGGGCATGAAACATACCTTACTTGGACATCCAAGATTCTGAAGTTCTTGACAAAATAATTTTCCTTTGTGATAGTAAACTTGTCTGAGTAAATTGAAAATATTGAATTATGATGTAATTATCATTGGGTTAGAGCGTTGGCCTACATATCCTCAGGTAATGATATGAGGTGGTTTTATTTTCCTGTGGCAGTTTGTGTCGCAGGAAGCCAAGGAGCTCATGATTGTGTCATTGGGCAAGAAAATTACTCTGGATTGCATATAACATGCCTCCTGTATGTTGTTCAGTGAGGTGGTCACTGGCTATTACAAAGATATCCCACCTCAAAATTACCTTGGCTGTTCCTAAGTTGATAAACCAAGCAAACAAATTACAAAGCAGCTAATTTGTGGTACAAAACATCTCAACCGTGGTCAATTTTGTGTTCAGATTAACATTGGTCAATTTTGTTTTCAGATTAACATTGGTCAAATTTGTTTTCAGTTTAACATTGGTCAAATTTCTTTGCAGTTTAAGTGTTGTGGAGCAACTGGAAATATTCACGTTGGCTGAAGACAGACTTGGTCAATTTTGTGTTCAGATTAACATTGGTCAAATTTGTTTTCAGTTTAACATTGGTCAAATTTCTTTGCAGTTTAAGTGTTGTGGAGCAGCAATATTTGAGGACTGGAAATATTCACGTTGGCTGAAGACAGACAATGAGACCCTCAATAATACACCAGAAAGCTGCTGTAAATCTGTCAGTGTTAACTGTGCCATCAGTACTCATCCCTCCAACATCCAGTATGATGTAAGTATTCTGGAACATTTCAATGATCAGAAGATAAAAGTCAGTAGCCTGACAGTCTGCGGCTTGATTACAGAGAAATTCCCACTAGTTGAGACTAGTAAGGTGACGAATTATCTCCTTCCACAAAACCTAAAGTGTAGTCCTCTCAGATGTGAGGAACTGTGAGAAGACATAACTATCAAGCACTCGGACAGAAATTGAATGCAGGTCTCTGGTGTGATAATTCCACAGACATCTGAACCAAACAAGCATGCTGTCAGTTGAGTGGTAGACATCATACTTTCTACACTTACCCTGTTATTTTTGAGAATTTATAAATTTCATCTTGAGACTCTGAATACCATGACTTGTGGCAGTGACTGTATTTAACAATGTTCATACCACACTGACCTTTCAACTGAGTGGCAGTGACCGTATTTAACAATGTTCATGCCACACTGACCCATCAGCTGAGTGGCAGTGACCGTATTTAACAATGTTCATGCCACACTGACCCATCAGCTGAGTGGCAGTGACAGTATTTAACAATGTTCATGCCACACTGACCCATCAGCTGAGTGGCAGTGACAGTATTTAACAATGTTCATGCCACACTGACCCGTTAGCTGAGTGGCATTGACCGTATTTAACAATGTTCATGCCACACTGACCCATCAGCTGAGTGGCAGTATTTAACAATGTTCATGCCACACTGACCCGTTAGCTGAGTGGCATTGACCGTATTTAACAATGTTCATGCCACACTGACCCATCAGCTGAGTGGCAGTGACAGTATTATTTAACAATGTTCATGCCACACCGATCCATCAGCTGAGTGATGGAGATAGTATTTAACAATGTTCATGCCACACTGACCCATCAGCTGAGTGATGGAGACAGTATTTAGCACTATGGACAAGCAACACAGTCCTGTTTCTTTTACACTTCAATAATTTAGTTAGTAGTGTAATAATGAGGCTGTTCACAGTTTAACTGTAATGGTTTCCAAATGTTTTTCAGAGCTGCAGTTTACGACTCGAACAGTACACAAAGTCTAACTTGGTGCTAATAGGAGGGATAGGCCTGGGGTTGTGCTGTATACAGGTAATTTACAGATATATATTTATTGCTTAGAGATAAGAAGGAGAATTCACCAGCTGCTTATAAAACACACTATCTGTACTTCTTGATCAGTAAATGATTAATTAACGGTGAAACATGGTTTTTTTCAGATATTTGGGATTATATTCTCTTGTTGTTTGGTAAGAAAAATCAAAGACAATATGGTACAACGCCACTACTGACACCAGTGACACCACAAGAAGTGACTTATTTATCAGGGGAGATAATTTTATAGCAACAACAGTAGCAGAGTACATCAGCTTTATGTTGTCCCACCATGAGAATTTTTTATCCTGTGGCATTCCACGAAAGTGTAAGTTATGCCAGCAATGCAGAGAAGAGTACTCTGGTTTTATTTGTGCAGTAACCCAATATAGATATCATAGATTTCTGATGATTTCAAATGCAAAATTTTATATCAATTGTGCACAGTAGTTCCCTGACAGTACTGATCAGTTAAGCTTGCCAATGATTGTGTTCATAAACATGGTATCAAGTAGAAATAGTGATAATCATCGCAATATCATTTTGAGATTAAATCCATTAGATCAGGTCTTTCGGTTGATCCTTGAGATTCTGTTTTTCTTATCAAAAATGAGGTTTGACTCTTGGGATTGAAGCTGTCATACTTCAAAAATTGTAAATATGATAATTAAATTTCAGGGAATATTTTCATTTATAGTATTTCTGAAACTGCAAATGTCAAGGAACAACCGCAAGCCCTGTTAAGACCCTTTCTTTATCTCATATCAATGATACTGTGTTTTACATAGGGATAAGACACAAACATCAATATTAATTTTACTAGTAAGTCTATAGTTATTGAGTTGGCCTTTGTCCCTTGTTTTGTCCTCATTTTGGGACTTATCAGAAAAATGGCTGACAGATACTCACCTTAGACCTGGCTATGAAGTTTGTTATTCTTGTTTCGTGGAGGGATTTTACTCAGATTTCATTTGAAGCTTACCCTTAGTCATTATTTATTAATTTTTGGACTGATTAGGAAAAAAATGGCCAGTAGGCAACCGGTTGTCTTGGATTTGACCATGAATACAGGTAATCGTGTAATTCTTGGGAGGAATTTTCAAATTTCATATTTAACTAAGAACAAAAACAGAGGAAAGGAGAGAAAAAAAAGTGAAACAAGTTAAGATAAAACAATCCTGGTGTGCACCAAGGTCCCTCTGGGAGCTGTTTAATGTCAACACAAGAACAAAACTATGTAAGGTAAGCATGCAAAGACAGAATATACTGGTCTAATGGAATTGATTCATTCTGTAATATCTGAATCTTCTGAATCACTGTTTGGTTCAAAGCTGACTTTAGCTTTCTAAAGAAGAAGAGTTGTCTCATTGCCCTTATTTTTGTAGATCTTTACTAGGTGTAATGATATCTGTCATTGATACAGAAATAAAGAAAGGGTCGTTCAGGTGGAATCGGCCAGTTGTTATATTTTAGATTTTTATGGTTATTGATTTTCGTCTTGAGAAATAAAATGTGTATTTGTAAACAATAATTCCTCTGTTGTGAAAAGTATTTATGCTTTCTTTGTAAAGATGATCTCTAATGGTCAGTAATGTAAGTTGTGATCTGTTTTGTCAAATGATAATGGGTAAATGAAGCTATGATACAAATTGATATACTGCTATACTTATTCAGAGAAGCCGAAATGACTGGACTTAATGAGCAGTAAATGTTTTTACAGACAAAGCCTTTTTTTAAAGTTTGCATTGGCTAGATGCATTAAATGGTTTTGGAATCTAAGTCTGTTGTTCTGATTTTGGAGTATTTTTGAGATGTCTCCCAGTAATTTTTATTTGTTGGCTTAATGTAATTAATATTGTAGATTAAAACATAAACTTATGCTGGAGGAATGTACCTTTGATCTGATGCAGTATTTGTAATCTGTTGCCATTTTAATTCGATCAAATTTTATTTCATAACTTTTTATTGCTTCATTTTAATGATTAGAAATATTTTGTGGAAAGGTTGAAAAAAATCTCCTGGTCATTTTTTTTTCATGAGGACTGTCATCATTTTCCATAACATTGAGGTATACATTCCAGTGATAAACATATAGAAACTACATATCCCTATTGTAATCATCTTTCTTATGACATGTGCTCCCTATCATTACAGAAGCTCTTCATTCCCATTCAGGATATTTGACATTTTCTATACAACTTAGTTGTTATCAGTACTTCACTAGGCTTAATTGAGATTCATCAGAAAGCATAAGATCAGTAGGTCTGTCCTTATATGGTAAATGATCGCTGTGGTCCTAGTGGTGAAACCAATTAATGTAAACAGGCTCTGGGATATAGTTACCTGTCACTGAACAAGTATTCCATCTTGTTAAAATTGTCAGTGAGATAAACATATGTACACATTTTCATACTGTTTCAGTCCTCTTTTCGAACTTTAATTTCTTTCCGCAAGTTAAGATTCCTTTTCATAAAAATATATAATGTATATATTATAATAAACATCAAATGAACAAGAAGACACAAAAAAAAGTATGAAGTTTTAACAAAATATAAACTTTATGTTAAAGAAGTTGGGTAGTGTAGTATTAATTATTTCATGTTGAATACTATTTTATTATTAAAAACAGTCTTGGATACTGTACAGAATATTTTTTCTATTCTGTTTTGATTTATAAACTAGTCTAGTCAGTAAATATAGAATTTAGTGTGATATATAACCTCCTCAGTGTTCCTCATTAGACTGTTTAGAATAGTTAGTAGTTTTTGTAAATGACTGTGTAATAAGAAGATTTTATTAGCTCTATGTTTACATTGTGTATTTAGGTCACATACTTTCTTCCACTGTAATTAGAAGCCCCCACCATTCACCTCTCTATTTACTGGAATTATGTAGATTGTGTAAACATTTTTCATTTATTCTAATCGTTGTGTTTATTGGTCAGTTTTGTTTAAGTTGTTCATCAAGTAAGATAAATCTGTTTTGTTGTTGAACATTTCTACATGTATTGAAATCTCCTTTCTCAGGAATAGATCAGTATTAGCAAATGGTCATACCATAATTTCAGTTTGAATATTACCATATTACATATTTTGGAGCTGGTGTGGAATTCTATCATAATCATAAAGTCATGTTTCATTGTATAAAGAGGTTTGTGATAGCTAAGTCAGTTGCACATCAGCCTACTCAACCTCAGGTGAAAATCCAAGGCATAAGTTTCAGTGCTTCTGATCCAGTGAGGTTTCTGTTTCTCGGGGAACTGAGGAACAGACCAGTCTGTGCTGACATGTTTGCATCCTTGTGCAAGGCACTTTACCCTGACTGCTTTAGATGGTATGTGAGGGGCCTCGCATATGTTGTTCAGTGAGGTAGCCACCAGCTCCTACACAGAGACACTGGCTCAAAATAAACTTGGCTGGAGACAAAAACCTGACAAATAAAAACCATTGTCTAAACCAATATAGGTAAAATAAATCATTATGCTAATTAGTCACTTACCCCAACTTGAGCAGGAATGTATCAGTTTTAAATTTATAAAAACAATTATACCTGTTTACCTTTAATAATTGTGTAACATACCAGGTATGAACTAAACACAACTTTTAGTCCAAGGTAAAAATGTGAAGTATTCAAACTGAAAAAGTGCCATATTTAAGACATGCCCAAAGCATGTAGTGTAATTTTTATACCCCTAAGATCACAGATCAAGGTGCATATTATTTTTAGGGTTTCTGTTAAATGATTTTGTCATCAGATTTGAACCAAATTTGATACATTCATTGTTTTATTTCAATACAATCCTTTGTTCAATATTAGAGAGGTCTTAGATTTCATAAATATTGGTCAAAACCTGTAAATATTTGCAAGAGATATCATGGACTTTAGATACTATGTTTGACCTACTTATGTACTATCATAAAAACATGGTTAGTGTGTGATGGTTAGTGATAAAAAATGCTCGCTTATTAAGCCTTCATAATGGATTCATCTTGCAGGCTTAGTGTTTTTCAGACATATTTTGTTCATATTTTGTAGATATCCAGTTATGCTGTATTTGATACAGGTAACATTAATATTAAATGGAAACAAATTTTATGCCATTTTTGTACAATAATATATCTTTTTTTTTTTAATGATAATGTTGCTTAAGTTAAATGCATACATATACATATAAAATTGAATGCAAACATTTTTATTTTGATACCATATTGGCAAATATTTGTAGTAAGAAACATGAAAAGGTTCAATCTCGTTTGAAAAGTAAATTTTATAGTTCACAAAGACCAGAAAAGTGGTGACTGACAATATCAATGAAACTGGTGGAAGTGAATTTTCTTTAAGCGTTTAATTATTTGTCTAGTCCTTCTGCTGTGAACAATCTTTATCTTGCTATATCATGTAGTACATAGTATTTATTCTTAATCAAGATTAAATTAAAAAAAATTGATTGATTGTTTGGACCAGTAGGTAACCAGGCTATCATTTTTAAGAGTGAAATTCACCTATGAATTGTGTTGGTGCTGAAATAAATACCATATCACAGAGTCTTAACACCATGCCTTAATTGTCATTAAATTATAATCATAAAATAGACCTCAAAATTGGAAATGCTGTGAAAATGATTTTGGTACTTTAATATTGAAAATATAATTTACACCTGTAACTACTGATCTCCATGGTTACCCACATGATAATTATGAAATATTTTGACTCTAAAGTAAGAGTTAGAGTTGATGCTACAGCAGTATCTTGATGATAATTGATTTCAAATATTGTACAAATATTGTAAAATGTTGATAAGGCATGTAATTACTGATCAATAGAATGAGTTGTACAATACAGCATTCTCACTCCACTCACATTTATGTCAAGATGGCTGCATGGGGATTAAATACAACAGTTTGTTTGTACAGAGAAAAGATGTTCTCTGATCACTGAATGGTAGTGGAACAACTTGACTTTTGTGGCTGAATTGACTAAGTTGTGAAAGCGTCACATTCTTGGATCTTGCATTATCCATCCATTGTGTGGATCCTTGATCAGCAGGATTAGGTGACCACACAACCTGCTAATTTTCAGGAGTTATATGCAGTGACTACTCTTTCACAAAATTAATTCCTTAGCTTCACATTTTCTTATCAAAGTCAGTCCATTTTAGTTGTACATATCGAAGGTTGCAGAATATATTCAAACTGTACTTGAAAGGTCAAGGTCTGGGTCTGAATAAGAAATGTTCAAGGTCAAGGTCTCTGAATTGAACAAAAAGGGTTTGCACACTTGAGCTTGCATACCAAGAGTCAAGTTCTAAAGACTGCAGGCCTACACACTAAAGGTCAAGGTCTCAGGCCTACACATCAAAGGTCAAGATCTCAGGCCAACACATCAGATTTTAGATCCCAGGTTTGAACACCATACTGCCAAGTCTCAAGAATGGTGGTAGAACATCTTAGTTAGCTGCAGCTCTTAACTTGGTTTTAACTGTATCTACCAATAGAAATTACTACCTTGTTATGCAGAATATTAAATTTATATATCAAGCTCAGGTAACCAATAACTGTGTTCCACAACATGATAAACATGACATATTTTGATACAGCTCTTGATGTTTTGATGCATCTCTAAGTTCTTTTATCTATATGCAACCATTTCCTTGTTGTTGTTGGGGTTATTTGTAGGTAGCATTTGTAGAAAAACAGTTAATAAAACCTTTTCTGGACAGAAGTTTATCAGAAATATTGATGACCGTTTCTTGCCATTTCATCTTGTACATGACACTCTTCAATATATTCATAGTGTTCTACAGCATCTACCGATAAGATGACATTTAAACATTTCTTGACTTGCCAGATTCAAATATTTATCTGGTTTGATTGTAAAACTGTAGAATTGAATTGTAACTATTTGAAATTATTATCCGTTATAAACTTCTGAAATATAAATATTCCATGATTTTCCAAGCATTGTTAAACTTTGGGTGGTGATCTTTGTGTGGATTTTTTTTTTTTTTTTTTGCACTTTAAAACTTAGATCTAGCTCATCCACTTAGGTTGTGCAATTTGAGTTATCTGCCAGCTAATTGTATCAGAAATTGTACCAAGCATATATCTATGTACATGATGTACTGTTTTGTTGTCATCAGATTAGTTTTTTGTCATCTTTTTATATTAAAGTTTTAAAGCAGATATTTGTGAATATTTAATACCTCTTTAAATATGATTCATGTCATGCATTTTATCATTTGCTGAGTAATGGAGTCGTCCGTAATGCATGTTTTAATACACACATGTACAAAATGGTTTTATTTATATTTCACAGACAAATAGATTTTGTTTATTAACTTGATGTTTGTAATGTTTTAAAAAGATGTTCCTGTTGTCATTTGTTCGTATGGAATTTCTATTGTATAGTTTTATCACTGTGTAACATATTTCATACATATTATTTAATAAAACATTTGAGAAGAATCTTTGATGACTTGTTTTGGTTTGTACATGTATCCGATACCTTTGTTTATTATCTTATCCTGTGGTTTAGGTCACTACTTGTATGTGATAAGGCTAGTTAGGCTCATAAATATCACATCCATATCTAAATCAAAAACATCCAGATTTGTTAGGAGTGCACAGAGGTCAGATGGACACACCCATCACTTGTAATGTATAACCAATTCAGACTTAAATGCTGTGTTTGTCAGGTGTAGCCTGTAAACACTTCAATGAGCAAATGTGACAATTCCATTAAATTTATCACACACACTTTAATCACTTTGATTTTGTTTATTCGAAAATAACGGATGACACACATTAAAGATTGTGTTTTCCATTATTTATAACTTGAAAAATTACAGTATTTTCAAAAAAAGGTAGCAATGACAATAATTACATGTCAATATTTACAAAACTAACAAAAAATATCAAACAGGAAACATCTTGAAAAGGTTGTTCACCATACACAACATTATTGTAACAAGGTTCACCATACACAACAATACTGTAGCAAGGTTCACCATACACTAAAGTATTGTGCTGTACATTGATGAGTGGACCGGGCCATATTGGGACAGAGTTTTTTTGTTGACATATTTTTCCAACTGTTCGACCCTATGTACTATATCATACATAAGTCATTATAAAATAAGGCAGATAAATATCTAGCTCAATACAATCAGATTTTTTATATCAAATCAATTCTGCCACAGAAGAAATACAGGTAAATGTGAACGCAAACAATCAGAGAAAACACCTCAGACAGGTGAGATATAAACAAGATGTGGCCTCGGACTTGGAATGACTATGTTACTGTGATCACCAGTAGAATTTTGTGTTGATTGAACAGCAACTATTTTAACAGATACTTGTAACAGTATAGTCTATATCTATTGATGCAAATCTACCTTCAAACTTTTGTAAATCAACACAAAAACAATAACTTCATAATAAGTAATACCATGGTATGTGTATGAGATTGACTTTCATATACATTGTTACCATCTATTGTATGTATTAAAGTTTAACTTGTTTTCACTACATAACATGTACAATAATCTCTTCACTATCATGTCACAATACTTTCCACCTGAACAGACATATGATGATACTACAAGAGTAAAGTTCTGTAATTACATTACCAGTTTAGTAACCAAAACGTCACACAAATTTTCTGACAGTTTGTGATATAAAAACTTCTATTCAATGTGTATTTACCACCCTGAGGGAGTTTCAGGGCCATGCTATTTGTTATAATAATATTTCTCATGTGTCCATTTGCATTTTGTATATATACAGATACACTGTAAAATGTTCCTGGACAATGGATGACCATATACCATGGTAAAATGATCACAAATGATTTTGATTGACCGAGTCAATGCCATTTTATACTGTTCATAAAACTTTTGAAACGGCATGCAACATGTAAGAAATATGTGCAAAAAAAGATCTCAGTAATGAATGGAATGTTGGATATGAATATTATTTGATATACAATATACTGTATATAACAATCTAAGTCAGGTTGATATGATCAGTGAGAATAATCCCATGTATACATCTTCATATTCAAGGACTATCTTCCAGGACCAAACATCACTGCCTGTCTGTATAGTATATATATATACAGGGATTATCCTGGAGAAGACCAAGCTTAACTGGACCTGAGACCTTCAAACAGAAACTGGACTCTCAATTTTTCCTATTCTCTTTCTATTCTGCATAGGATTGCCTATCTTATTTTTAAGTTTTGACACTGACTAAACATATTACAATTAAAATGAACAAATAATTAAAAATTCCTTAGCATTTATACCTCTTCAGAGGTTCTTCAGAACAGGTGGAGGTCTTAATTACGTCATCACATCAATATCCTTAATCTATAACTAAGTGCATCGGAAAGATGAATTTTAGTTTCCTAAAACAATGGAGTCTGATCAATGATTTAAATATTATACCTATCAGTATTATCTATATATAATCATAGACTTTTTGCTTAAACACATAGATTAGTGGAACTGATAAAACAGAACATACGTTTGACTAACCACAAAATATATACAACTTGTTAAAAGTCTAGCATGCATCAGTGCAAAACGTTGTTATGTATGAATACATAAAGGTCAGTTTTGATTTTAATTATTAGCAAGTGAAATTAATTTTCATTTCAATGTATTATATAATATACATTGTATATGCATGACTTCTTCCTATTAATATTCAAACTCAATGTTGTCTTGTCTTGAATTTTTGCCTTATCTGAAAAGGATGACTAACTAAATAATTAGAAATATAACAAACATTTATCCTTAGATGTGTATACCCAATGTATTATACACTGAAATTCAGTATCAGTTCAAAAGCCAAAAATGTCTCATTTACTTTCAGGGGATGTAGAGGACACAGGTTCTGAAGCTCCGCCAAAACCTGCTTCTGCACAACAGTATTTTGACCCATCTAGAGTTACTTATCTCAACAAAAATGAACATTAGAAAGCTGGTGATATATCCAAATATATCGTCATACATATATATACTGGTGCATCACCGATCATGACATTTGTCTCTACAGTCAAAGCACCTACTCCTGCACAGTCTCAGCATCATCCACATACTGGACCTCCATAACAAATGTCTCCCCATCTACAGAGAACTGCTGTGGTAGGTGTTCTACAATTTGCTCTGTAGTGCCATCCTGCGAAACTTCAGTTATCACCATGCCCTCTTGTAATGCTACCTGGGATGTGTCAATCATCCCTATGCTACTGTCCCCGCCTCCTATCCTCAGACCTGGGACGACATGTTGTAGATTTCCTATAATGGTAGGTTGTTCTTCCTCGGTTATCTCCACGATGTTATCAGAGTTACTGGAGACGACGTGTGTAATGTTATCAATGTTGGCCTGTTCACTCTGAGAAGCAGGGATTAGTATAGTTTTCTCTTGCGAACTTGCCAAGTTGTTAGAAGCATCGCTCTCCATAGTTTCAACTTGCTGAAGTGTTTCCTCAACCTCAGATATCTCCACTGTTTGTTCGGCTTTCAGCCCCGCTACTTTTTCCTCACTGGATGCCATGGTTACTGGTGTGTTGCTGCCCTGGTCAGCGTTGGTGATCATCTCCACCAGAGTGAGTAGACTGTTGGCAATGGAGTTAGAAATGTTGTCCTGACCAGCTTCCTTATCCCCGTGAGATACCTCAGTTGTTGCCATGTCCCCATTCTCAATCACACGAATAGTCTGTCCGTTCTCATCAACAATCACTACACCACTAGATGATTGTTCTATCTCCTCTGCTGTCATGCTCTTCTGTAGTACCTCTTCCTCCTCCTTTTCCTGTTGCTCTTTTCTCAGACGTTCCATCAACTCCCGCTTCTCTCTGATCTTACGTTTGTACTTCGGTTCGTCCTCTGAATGGACGCACATGTGCACTTCAAGGTTCTGGGCTCTTAAAAATCCTTTGTCACAGATTTTACAGGTGTATGGCATTCCTTTGATGTGGATGTCTTTGTGTTTCCTCAGCGTCTTGGCCTCCTTGAAACTCTTGTTACAGATATCACACTCAAATGGCTTCTCCCCTGAGTGTATCCTTAGATGGGCCATCAAGTGAGCATTTTGTGTAAATGCACGACCACACTCTTCACATTTGTAGGGTCGCTCTCCACTGTGTGTACGCATGTGCTTCTCCAAATGAGGTTTAGTACGGAAACATTTCTGGCATTGAGAACATTCATAAGGCTTTTCTCCTGTATGTGTGCGACGATGCTTTGGTAGCTGGTTCTGTGTTGTGAAGCACTTGCCACACACATCACATTTGTATGGTCTCTCCCCTGTGTGGGTCCTGGTGTGCACTTGCAGGTCATCCTTGCGACGGAAATTCTTGGGACACATGGTACACTGAAAAGGTCTTGCACCTGAGTGTATGCTGGCATGGGATATCAGGTTATGTTTGTACAGGAACTCTTTACCACAAACCTCACATTTTGGCAGAGCCTCACCGCTGTGAAACTTCATGTGAGCCACAACATGAGACTTCTTCCGAAAATGTTTGCCACAGTCATCACAACGATATGGGCGGTTGTCTGCACTGTTGTTTATGTTGTAGATCTTTGGCTGGGGATCTACTACCTTATCTGTTTGAGGGACCAGATTAATCTGAAGGGGTTTGGCTTCCCCTTTGGCAGGGATGACATTTACATGAACTGGATTCGGGCCCTGTTGTTTGATGATGTTGGTTGGCTTTGTTGTCTGAGGTGCCATTGTCATTGTGTTGCCCACAACTACGACCTTGCGACCTCCCTGTTGCTGGTACTGGATTATGGTTGGCTGGACAAGGGAGGTCTGAACATCTGTTCCTTCCACAGCGTCTTCCTCATTGTTGTCCAGTACACGCTGACACATCTGACATCGTGGGGGGTCTGTTCCATCACCATTAATCGATCTTTGACATGTTTCACAATTACGGGGAACCTCTGGTAAACAAGATAAAAGCAAGAAGCATTAAAAAATCATGTCCAACATATCATAAAATTGAAAGTAATGTTGATATTATGTTAAAATGTGCTTTGCAAATCTTGTTTATGTCCAATATGTATTACATGTATTATAGAACTATCAATAAGTTACAAATCTGGTAATAATAATTCTGCATCAAACAAGCATCAAATAAATCATTGAAAACATATGTGAATGAGAAGATCAATATTCATGCTTTGACATGTCACATTGAAAAAACAACACACTAATCAGCTTAGGTACCTTCTGTGATGATGGTCCATCCATTTATTTGAAAGAACGCATAAATTGCAATCTCCTGTTCTGGTGTAACCCTCAGTGACAAGAGACGAGGCTCATTGGAGGTTGCTGTGGTCGTAACTTCCACAGTCGTCATTATAATGAAAATGCTGTTAACCAGTCATTCAGATCCCCTGAAAAATACAATATTCATAAATGTTACTTATTGCACATACCATAATCTGCTTTAAAGGAATTGATAACAATTTTTCACAGAGTTGTTCTACATAGAATATGTAGAATTTTCTGAAATATCCTCTCTACCTTTACATTTTCACCAAATCTGTTGAGGGCTTGCATGAGATATGTATACAACAGATCAGAATTGTAGATTTTAACCTTCACCAATGAACACCAAAATATAAATAGGTGTTGAATATGATGGTATTGTAACATGGTGTGAAGTATGAACTATATCTGTTTTGGGTTTCAAGAGATGGAAAGAAGATGAGTTTTTTCATTCAAACCCCTTTTTTCCACTTTTTTCCATTTCAACAAATTCATTATATAAACAATATCTATAAAGGAATCAGATAACAGACTAGGCCTATATAAATCTACTCTATGGTGGTGATAGCCATTTAAGAAATTCTAAAAGAGGAAAACTTTCAAAAACTATAAATACATCTATACTCACAACATTTAACCATATGCTATACAATCATTTCTCATCCCTCCTTCAACTGTGTATTGGTATGGATGAGAAATGATAGTATGGCATATGGTATAATTCATAAATTAATGACAATTTGATTTTGAAGTATAAATGATATTAAATTAGAAAATTACTATAAAAACATCAGGTATAAAGCGCATAAATGTAACAAGTATATAGATTAACATCCTAAATGTTTACTTTCTACAATAAATTTTTCCTCATTAGATAAAATAAAATAATTTATTTCTAGGGAGAAATTAATACATCCAGATGTTGGAAGTTCAACATCTAGATAACCAGTTCTTGTATAGATATTAGGGATGGAGTTTCTGAAAGTGGGATAATCTGGACAGAAGAAAAAGAAGTGTTCTGAATTTTCAGTGAGATGGCTACAAGAACAAGACAAGGGGGAAAGATATACCAGTTATCTATAAATTCATCATAAATTAAATCATTTGCATTATTTCTCAGTTGGCAATGGTCAATATTTAATTTTCTAGAACTACAGTGCAGGAAAATAGGAGATATATTTGTAACGTGTATTTTATCATTATTCAATCAAGATTTAAAGATACTTAATTATGGTGCTAATGATAATTCTTGGTTAAGAGAGCTCCATTATTTCCGATGCATCAGTTTGAACAGTGTTTAGGTGCATGTAGATACGTCAGCTCTATAAATGCATTACTCAGGTGTTTACAGTAACAAGAAAACATACAGCAATTTTAATTTCATGCAATTTTGAAAGGGTCACTAAATTCGCAAAAATTAGATGTAATCCTGAGATAATACTAGCTGCAATACATGCACACTACGCAGCTGGAGAGATATCAGTTAGGCCTAAAACCAGTAAGCCAGAGAATCTGTAGTTGAATCCTCACAGAGGCATAGAAATAATGCTTTGTATTACATTGGTACCCACAAAAGAACTCAGGAATAATATCTAGCGTTACTTTAACAAGCCTCGCTGTTACCCCTGTAAACTCAAGGACAAGTTATTTCCTGGAGGGGGAGTATAGATGTAACCCTGGTAAAATACTTAGTGCAGTATACTGCTCAGTTAAGGAGATCCCCTTTTTAGCATAACACTAGTCAGCACAAGGACCTTGGTTTAAATTTCATTGTTAGGCACTAAGATAAAAAAAATGATGTTATATTTACCATACCTGTCACCACTAACTAAGAGAGGGACATAATTATTAGCATGAAGTTCTCAGGTGAAAACCCAAGTAAAACATACTTAGGCTTGTGCACCCACCTTTGTCTTTACACTAGACTTCAGACCTTTGGATGGACAGATGTCAATGGGATCAAGACAACACATGCCAGACATATCTTCATCAAAATGACTAAAGTGAGAAACAGCTCTAATTGTGGTGTTGGAAACTGAACTAACATTCTGTTGCTTTAGCTATATGAAGGTTAACAAAACACATAAGCTGTTACCAGTACCTGTATATGTTGCAACATGTATGGTGGATTTAATAGCAGTACTCACCTGCTTTGGCTTTTACAATATAATGTAACCTGTTTGAAAATTTCCTGTTGACTATCAACCGTTCATAACCCGATCTTATAGGCAGCCGATCTGCCTAGATCTTAATATTGCTAACATCATACAATCGTTTGTCCAAAATTGTGATCGATTAAATTATTTGTCGTGATCTGTTGATCATTGAGCCAATAGGCATATAGTAGGTAGATAAGTCAATACCTGTCTGAACTGTCTACTTTATTATGCAGTTGAAATAACAGTCACGAATCTACGAGCACACAATGGATTTCTCTAAATAGTGTTCTTAAACAAAATGAAAGTAAAGAACATCGGAACCTCTCGTATAAAACCTTTTCAATGAACTCTGACCCAGAGAAGCGAACACGTTTTCATAACGGAAGAAATGAGCAAATGGTTGTCCACCATTTTGTTTCATATTTTCAAGGACGACGTTTTTTCTTGTAACGTCTCTTTATCCGGACTAGAGTATTTTTCAGAAACGAAAAAGCCTGATGTACTGTAAAACTTTGTTTTAGGGGGTTTTCGGAATAATACCTGGTTCGATTGGATCGAGGAGTCCGAAAGACACTCTTCCAGAATTTTGCTAAAACGGCGTGGCGCGTCTCCTTCGAGGGAAAGAACCGAGGCTATCCGGCCACTACGTAATCTAGCCCTCTTAAACGCTTGTAGAAATGTTCAGAGTACTATCGCTGTTAAGCGTTCATCGTACGTCGTCAAATAGACTGTGAGGCCACCCACAGGGGCTTTCTCCGTACAAGATTATTTAACCATCAAATTAATAAAATTTTATTTTTAATTTTTGATTTTTTGAAACAGCTATCAGAATTATTCATAAGCTTTATGTTTAACACTTGATTGCATCACCTTTGTAATCAGATCTGATTAATATTCTTTTGTTTTAATTCACCCTTGTAATATCACGGACTTTAAAATAGATCTATTTGAAGTCCGTGGTAATATTAAGTGTGCTTAACCCACATATGCAGGAGGTCAATATGTATTGTGAATCTCCTTTCATGAAACAGGTCAGACGGGGTTTAATTTGAGCAGTTCCTACCTATATCATGTCATGTCCGCGTGCATCGGAACCCGTTACTACATTTTAATTATTTTAAAATCTGAAGTTACAGAACTTAAAAGACCATTTTATCCAGGCCTGGTAAAATGTGTATATTATTTTCAAAAGCCGATTTTGGTATAGAAAACTATTTGTTAGGGTTGAATAAGGAAGACGCAAATATATTTGTAAATTTAGAACATCAAATAAACTTCCGGTATAAGTAGGAATATGGAAAGGAATAAGCAACAGAATTAAAACGTCCTCTATGTAATGATGGGAGACGAATTCGATTTTTGAACTGTTTGTGGTAATGATAATGTAAAACAATTGAGATTGAAATGTATCCCAGCATATTACTTCTAAGTGAAAGGAATGCTCGCAATTTATGATTCCGGCAACGGTTTGTGATGCGGACAAACTAGTCAGTCGTGATATGAGTTCGAAATCTAACTTCAATTTTCTGTTATGATGCATATTTCACGGTATTGTCTTTGTCGTCAGAAATCAGAATAAGACATTCCTCCCAACCAATCTGAACGTCGAATGTCCAGTCTTTCAAGGTCGAACACTGGCTCAAAATATAAAATAAATTACTCAAATGGGAAAAGATAGTTAGGGCGGAGGGTCTTACGTATGTTTGTAGGTGATACAACGAAAGACTTTATCTACACGTAGCTCAGGCAATGCACTGTCAGAGGCTTGAATATGTAAAAGTTATAAATCTCTGACAGTTTTTTTTATCGCATCAAACCTATTCATTTACGATTTTCTTGCTTAAATGAAGTTTGTTATTTCTTGTTTGAAATTTTTTAAAAAATTGAATGATTCAACGGTTTGTCAAAAGAATTGATAGACCGTGGTCTCCGATGGCCGCCCTAGCCCAATAAACGAAAAGAGGGTCACAGTCACACTAGACTAATTTTGACAAAGAACTGGTCCCTTGGTTTTGTTTAAGTGTAGGTTAAATATCCCGAGAATGTAATTGACATCGTTCATTATATCTGGCCTATATCCCGGGGACTAAATACCAGTCTGAATTCGATGACAGTTTAAGGGACTTGTTCTATTACGTCTTTCAATTGAATCAAATAACAATTTCCATATCAGAAAAAATTGTGCGAACTAAAGGACATTTACGTGATCTTAACACGAGATCAACGTAAACACGCCAACAAATAATCAATTAACACGTTGAGCTTAATTACCAATGAACAACGTATTAAAATGTTTCCATTTGAAATGTTAATCTTACAGCCAATCAGACGCGACATTGCACATCGGTCAAGTTGTTATAGATGTTAAACCGAAGGAAAAAAAATCAGTATATACTAGCTTTTTGGCAGAGGATGCTTAATTATGACTAAGGTATCTATTGCATTGAAATATTTTAATCATTAAGTATGAAACAGTATTCAATGTGTTAGTATATTTAAAACATTCATCATAAAGTTGGATCTCTAATCTTAATAAGTTTATCGCTTTAAAGTTGATGTTTTTCAACACGTTTAAATTCCATAAGACAAGGACAAATTATCAACAAAATAAAAATGTACACGGAGACTCCTGAATAACTACGAGGAGAATAAAACCAATTGTTCCTGAAGAATACCCGTCTTCTGCTTCAACGACGCCACCCACCTTGGTCAATCCAAGTAAGTAACGCCACGTTCTCAAATGAGACCAAGGTATACAACAACGCAACCAAGAGGCAAACTAACGAGCATCAAATACTTCCAGCTTCATGCCACACAAAGAAATCGAATATTTCTCAATGAGATCGCTATGGCGACTATAAAACTTCTCCATAATTTTCATCAACCTGCATCTTTGGAACCCTTGTATTACGAATTTGTCAGTCAGTTAACGACTTCTTGCTCGAAAATCGAGATAATGGGAACATGCCCTTAAATATATAATTAACTGTGATATGTAATTACCATAGACTGGGGATGCAGGGATTTATGTAATTACCATAGGTTGGGGATGTAATTACCATAGGTTGGGGATGCAGGAATGTTGCTAACTAGAAATGAAAAATTCACAATAGGGAAATTGCTATACGGATTATTATTATTATTATCATCTTTTTTACCTTCTCTTTAACTACAGAATTTGTGAAACATACTTGTTTCAGTAAGTTCGCACTTCCAAACAGATGCTAGATCTTTGATCTAAGATTTAAAAATCAAAAGCATGAACGGATGTATATATTAACGGTGAAAGATGTGTAAATTGGTGCATTCTATTAATTTTAACGTTTATGGTTAGTTATGATCCAACACTTCCTTCGTTATAATTGTAACTGCTGGTGGTATTAATGATGAATTCCACTTTTTAATTGTATAACACTTCACAATTCTTCCAGATGATATCAGGTCTGTTTTGTTTGTTGTTTTTTCTGTTGTTGTCTTTTTTTAGTATTGGCGTTCTGTGCACATACCACCATGTCAGGTAATATACATGTTGTTCCATAGATTTGAAATAAAATTAAACTAAAAGATGCAATCAAAATTCGATATCGATATGAACCCCGTTGAAATTCGATATTCATTTCAACTTTGTAACTTCATACAGAACATGATAAACTGAACATCGAAATTTATTTATTTCTAGTTAGTTTGTTCAAGGACATATCATACTGGATTTGGGACTTATCTTATAGAAATTCAAATACATGAAAAGATAATGCTGTTGACGAAAAATCCTTCTCTCTTTCTCTCAGTTGTTAAATTGGATTTGAAATATATTGAATTATGTTGAAGTTTTAAGCGAGACTTAATTTTATTCAAGATATGACGCATCAACTTTTCTAAAAATAGCAAAAATCTTAATATCTATAAATAGTATCGAACAGACCATGAAAAATACAAGATATACTTTGTATAAGTTTGCACTGAATTTTCAGTTAAATACTTATTAAACGTTAGGCAATGCTAGATATTATTGATTGCAATAAAATTCACAAATAAGAGTTTTGATTTTTTATACAGCAAGAAAATAGATAATTTCCTTTACGGGCCTCTTTCTGGTATAAAAAGCCCGTGTGCGGCTTGAAAAATAAGGTCAGCTTTTCCTAGAGCTCTAAGCAGTGTCGCTGCGATCGCTACCGAGAAGGTCGAAGTTACGACATCGGAGTAAGAGTGTGGCTTATACATTCTCTCCAACTCCATCGGAATATTTTACCTTTGTGAATATAGGAAACATATCAAACTGGCTCATCGATGACAGAATACAAATTGGTAGTCGTTGGAGGTAAGAATCGTCAGGAAGCCCATTCCATTAAACAACCATGAGACGTCGGTAATATTGGTGACTAAACAGTTGTCCAGAATAGGGTGGTGGTTGTCGGTATTCAAAATATAGAGATGATACGAAGTAAAAAACTGTTAAGTAACTACATCAAAACAGTTCGATAGAGATATTGTTGAGTGTCTGTCAGTGTTATGATGCAGAGCTTTAATCCTCAAATAACTTTTCGATAAACATCGGAAAATATAATGCTAATTTGATTTTCCCGTCGGCGCCCCAAAAGCACCTGCTATTTCTGTATTCAGATATATTTGATCCAAATTGTGACATTTTCACTTTATATTGATTTCCTACGTTTATTTGACTAAAATAACGAGATTCTCGGGGTTTGACCAGGAAACCGGCGCATACGTGATGTACACAAATCACAGTGTATGTTGTACACAAAGAGTATTGCACACATGTGAGTTTGAAAGCAACCAGAACCACACCCCACCCCGGCCACTTGCTGTATCATGTCCTTTTGTAGACATATGTACATGTAATTCTTCTATTGTTGTTAGTAAAAGTAATACATCTTGTTATTTGTTTATAATGGTTGATGTATAAAAGTGTAATGCCTGTGAGAATATTATAAAGACTGCAGTGACCATTGTAATTTCAAACATTATGGATGCTGGAGTGTGGTTTACATGTTACAGAAAAGTTAATAGTGTGTTGATTTTAAACATTGTTTCAAGATACACTGATATTATTTGTATTGATTATTTCTCACCAAAAATGGTTTTAGATTGAATAATTATAATGAAACAAGTTACTGCCTGGTATTGTTTTGATTTCATCACCTGTGTTAGTAAGTAAACATATCGTTGAGCTTCTGGTTTTCATACACTTCATAAAATGAGTTAAAAATGAAATATTCCAAGTTAAGTGATTGAAAGCAGCTAGTATAGATAATACATGGGATTCTCACTCACAGGATAGTTTCATTGCATGTCAGTAATCATGTATGATGTTACCTGGCTATAGTGTCAGAATTATTCTGAAATTCTATAGATTTGTTAATGAACATCAAAACTTTGTTCCCATGGAAAAAGGGGTAGAATGGGAGGGGGAAAAGCGACCAGAACTTAGGTTGGCATTTACACAAAAATTGTGGAAACACCAGATTGACATAAAAAGGAATTTCAGAATAAAAAATCTCAAGCAGTTACAATTTTATTATCTTTAGAATTTGATTTCTTGTATTTTGTAATTACAATTATTTCAATTTTCCAGCTTAAATGTGTCCCATTCCCAATTAATCTAAAATTATGACTATATAAACATTCCAAAATCCAAATCATATCTAAAAGTAGATTAATGACTTTACAACATTGCTTAGTAGTTGTCAGTAGTGTTGACTGGCTTGACTCCTGGTTATGGCTTTGTTTTTTTAGGACTTTTGGTTATTGATTCTATTTTAACTAGCCAAGTAGGCCTATATTGCTTATTTACTAGAAAATTCCAACATTTACTTCTTATATTGATATACGTTTACAGTGTACACTAACATATCAAATCTAGGTCTCATGATTTCATCTGTTTGTCGTTTTGTTTTATTATTTTGTTTTCGACTTTGTAGACATGCTTGCCTTTATTGTTCCCTTCAGAATTCTGATGTTCCTTGTCAATGTTTTAAAATAAAGAATTTTCTTTGTCAAAGCTTTAAACCAAGATAAAATTTTTAAAAATCTTACCTATAGAAGATGGAAAGCTATTACTACATGACAGAAGCAATATGTAAGAAGCAGCTAAACATACCAGGTAGACTGTGCCTGGAATGTGACCTGGTGTACTCAATTCAGTAAAGCTGAAAGAGTCAGGTATAAACTGGTAGAGGTAGTAGATTGATAGTTCAGTGGTCATGGCCACATCAGAGTAGATTGATAGTTCAGTGGTCATGGCCACATCAGAGTAGATTGATAGTTCAGTGGTCATGGCCACATCAGAGTAGATTGATAGTTCAGTGGTCATGGCCACATCAGTAAAGCTGAAAGAGTCCGGTATAAACTGGTAGAGGTAGGAGATTGATAGGTCAGTGGCTATGGCCACATCAGTAAAGCTGAAAGAGTCGGGTATAAACTGGTAGAGGTAGGAGATTGATAGTTCAGTGGCCATGGCCACATCAGTAAAGCTGAAATAGTTCGTGGCTACTGGCTACATCAGGAGATTGATAGTTCAGTGGCCATGCCACATCAGTAAAGCTGAAAGAGTCAGGTATAAACTGGTAGAGGTAGGAGATTGATAGGTCAGTGGCCATGGCCACATCAGTAAAGCTGAAAGAGTCGGGTATAAACTGGTAGAGGTAGATTGATAGTTCAGTGGCCACGGTCACATTTAGATATATTCATCCTCCCAAACTAAGGATGTTCAATACTCTTGGGTTTAATGAACGATGTCTTTAAAGACAAGCCACTAAAGTGGTGGGACTATTTGAAGATTTATCCCGAGTGTAAATATTGTTAATGTGAAAAAGTAAAACAGGAGAATGTAAAGGAAAGGGAAACGAACAACAAGTGGGAACAGTAGTACTACTGTTGCTAAAGGAGGGGTGGGGGAGGATTTAGAATTTATAATTAGTTTGTTTTATAATTAGTACTACTGTTGTTATATGGCTTACAGCGGAGTGTGATGATGTCCTTCATTATAACTGCTTTCATGACCATCAGTATACATGTACACAGTAGTAATTACATTTTTAAGAATTGTGCTGGCAAATTCATTCCATTAGAAATGCTCATGAAATAAAATAAACTTGATTTAGTTTACAACAATTATGAAACAAGTTTTTTCAATGTTGTTAATCACTCTTCCTGGCTGAGATCAAAGTGCATGAAGGGTCTTACTGTGGGAGGAAACAGAAGTACATGGGGGGGGGGGGGCATGTAGTCTGACAGGTGACCCCATACCTTTTCACATCCATTCCAGGAATCTAACCCTGATAGCTAGGTGAAAGGCGAGTTTATTACTACTGCACCAACCAACCACCCACGATATCTATCATGATACAGCTAATTTATTTCCTTAATTTTTCTGTGTATATCCTTTGTAAGAAATATTTTAAACCAGCATATTTCTATACTGATCAGTACCCTAATATTGCTAAGTGTCGGAAATTTACCTATTTATATAGACCTTTCTATATTGACTCTAAATGAATCATTCCATTTTCTTTATGATGCTTATCACCATGATTAGCTGATCACATACCATAGTTACCCCCTCTCTGTTCTCCTTTCGTACCCTCTAGTATGAAAATGCATATATAACACCAGATGTAAGACTGTACTGCGTACTTACTAATTTTATGAATTCATTGTATAAGAAATTGGGACAAGGGTCATTATCCGACTACCTTTAAATTGGAAGATAAAAAATTCCTAACAAAAAACATAAATATCTGACCTCAAAGTGACCCGCCCATTTATGATCTCATTCTAAAAGTGACCAGTGGTGCATCTGGTACCACAACTTCTGTGAATCATACATCACATTTTTCTGTTGTTTTTTGGTGAGGCATAAGACAGGGCTGTACAATTACCGTGATTAAGGTCACAGGCAATAAGGAGTCTATGATGAGAAGATATGTGTACAGCTTGGAATGAGGCCAGTTGTATAGAGTAAACATTAGGCCTATACCTTTTGTTGTGATGAGTGTACTCAGAGATATACACAGTGTAAATATATATATGTATAAAAAACTTCAATAAGGTGTGGTGCTTTGACCAAGAAGATTAAATTTACACTATCTTTAATACCTTCAGCAGATCAATCCGTATCCTTTTTACTGATTTCAATTTATTTAGTGTATGTACATCCGTCATTGTGGGTACCCCCAGGGGAAAAACAACTTTAGTACCGAGCTAAATACTTTATATATATATGTACCTGCTTACATGAGTTAGCTTACATTTTCCAAGCTTTTATGCAATGTCATGTTTATGATGTTCCTGTAATTGTTATTGATTATCTGTTCATTTGCTTCGTTTAAAAAATAAGTGATTTATTGATTTTAATGTTTGCAGTATATTTGAATAAATTATGTTAATTAACATGGTAATTTATTCAGAAAAGGGACTTCTTTGTTTACGAAGTTTATCACTTTATCATGAGAATGTGTAACTAGGCTCACTTTGAGGTTTGGACTCCTTTTGATAGCTGGTGTCCATCATGCTGAACACCATGCAGGAGGCAAACCTCATGCCATCTACACCATCTAAGATAAAACAGGGCTTTCGATCTGCCAGATTTGGGACCAATATTCGGCCCCATTCCCAATGGAAAATAGTATCCTTTTTTCCCAATTTAGACCCCAAGTTTTCCCAATTCTATGGAAAACACCATTATTTTTCCCAATTCTAAGGGCCCCGGGCCCCAATCCCAAAATGGGGTGTGAGAGCCCTGTAAAATATAAAAATTTGCAGGACACAACTACTGCAGTATATGACAGTATTTTTCTCAGATTCCTGACGAACATTAAATGCCCTAATAGAGGTAGTCAAACCGCTCACCTCAGATTTTTACCTGAGGCCGCAATTCAAGTCTGAGACTTCACTTACTGATCATCAAGCTCTTTAAAAAGCAGTCTTTTAATAGAATATGAATGAATGTGCATCTTTTGAACATGTGAATTTTAGCATGAATTTAAAATGAGATAATTATACATGTCAGTGTATTTTTTAGGTCCTCGAGTCAGACAAGCATGTGAATTCTGATGAGGTATATACAATAAAACAGAATACATTGGTAGACTGATGAGTTACCTCCCTTGTATGAGGTACATTAATTTATATATATATATATTAATATATGAAGTCGACATCAGATAAGGTATAACTGCCATTACATTTTGCAGCAGTTTCTACTGTGAATACTCCAATGGTTTCCCCTCTGTAGACTATGATTGAGTTATCTCCCTTATAGATATGGTAACATCACAGGTTTAATGGAGAAATCTCACT